GTCCTTGGGCGATCCAGATAAATGTTTGGAGAGCGCCTCGATTAGGTCATGATCTCTTCTTTAAAAAATCCTTTCACATTCGCTACTCACGAATCATCCTACCTTACGGCTGTATATATTCTACAGGACGACACTTTCGGATGATAATCCAAAAAAAAAACAATGTATATTGTTGGTTCTTCCATCTGTTCCCAGGTCTTCTCAAGCCTCTCTGTTCTTCGTATCTATGTTCCGTTGTTACTCTGGGCAGGGGCTGCGCCATTGCTCAAGCGGTTAGTCGCTGGCTTCCCACAGCGGCGGCCCGGGTTCGATCCCGGGTCTTGTCAAGTGGGATTTGTGGAGGACAAAGTGGCGCTGGGGCAGGTTTTCTCCGAGTACTTCGGTTTCCCCTGTCAATCTTCATTCCACCAATTGCTCCACAATCACCCTCACCTATCATCTGAGGCTGGTACAATAGACCAGAAGTGGCCGCAGTACAAGGGACTTAGTCCCACACCACTAGCAATAAAAAAGTACTCTGGGCAGCATCCAAAACCCATGTTCCTTCCATTTCTGAAGATACTTCTACATTATCTGCGTTATACTATCTTCCCCAGCTTGCTGTCTAATGTTTTCGTTTCGGACGTTGTTTTTTACCTTGCTCCATCTTACAGTCTCAGGAATCTCTCTGATGCCGCCCCAGTTTGGCTTTCCGCGGCTTTACACAGAGTGCAGCACATTCGCTGCCATACAATGACGTCGGTTTACTGACCACATTAGGAATTCTTAGCAGCGTGTCTTCCTTCATTTGCTTTCCTTCGTTCCTGCTTAATATTCAATTGTTGTGTTATTCATTAAAGGTCTTTCAATATTAGAGCAATTATCATACAATCATCTAATCATATTTTGTTTACTTCCCTAACTTCAGTAAATGCAGCTGGAAGCCCGACATGCTTCAGCAATACGAGGCCAACTTCAGGTCATGTACCGTATTAAAAGGAAACTTTAGAGTTTACATGAGACCTACAGACCTAATTCTTCCGGCCGCAGGCCCTGAGGTCGACTCAGCCTCTAACAGAAATGAATAGCAGGAATTAATTAAATAATTTTCCTGGGGAGTAAAACCCGGCCGCCGCGTAAGGTTGACAACCTTACCGCCATCTTTGAGAAAATTGTCTAGATAACGTGGGACCCTCAACGTCTCACAACCCTATGGGCCTTCACGGCCTGTTACAGGGATAGCTTTATTTTTTACTTTACATGGGACCTATATACAAAATAATGGATTTAAAACTTTCGTGTTATAAATTTCTTATACAAGACTAAAATTAATATTGGTAAAATTCGTACATTGATCCCGCTGTTTCTGCTGTAAAACTGATGAAGTTATGTTGTGGCATGTTAGAGACTGCTGTCTCATACTCGATTTCAGGTGTCGAAAAAACGCAACTCTGCTCTTGTGTTGCAGTTCTACGCAGATGAAATATTGAACACACACGAAGAACAAACACTTTATTATTTTACCTACATAGAACTAAATCGAAAGGGTACAGCTCCAACTTTTCGACGCTTGAGAACAAGTGTAAGGTAGCAACATTAGCACAACCAACCGTAATCAACTGAATCAACATAACTACGGCCTACATATATATTAACGTAATATTAGTTTCATTTTTTTGTAAGAAAATTTATGGCATGAATATTTTAAATCGTTATTTTTTGTGTAGCCAAATTACGAAGCCTGCATTCAGTAGGGTACATCTCCTGAAGATGGTTTTGAACGACCGAAATATATCGCAGTTTTAACAACATATAATTATCATATCGAAATAAGCTAGATATATTTAGATGACAATTTCTATCTTCTTATCTTACAAACGTTACATCGGTTTCCTCGCTAGCGGATTTTACTACCCTGAAGACGGAGGCGGTAAATTTCCCCGAAACTTCGGTTTACACAAGAACTACACGGCTCCATATCCCAGAAGACGGCATTCTTCATAGTCGCCGCTGTGAGAATCTCAAATTTTACACTATCAATATATTTTTTGATGTGCTCTTTGCTGTTGAAGGCCATGAATCTCTCAACAGAATTCAGTACGTCAGTACAGTCGTGAGAACGGATGCACCACTGCAGTGTGCGACTGGTCTGCAGCGAGATGCGTCACAGGGACAGAGAAAGATACGGACAGTGCATGATGAACGACTTCCATTAAATGTCTCCCTTCCCCCTTTCCCGACTGCAACCCAGTTCTACTCTCAGTCACTTGATGCCTCTCTCTGCTTGTACATTTGTGTACGATATATCCTTGCTATTATTTCTTACATGGTTATTGTCGTGCCCACAACGTACAGGTTATCGTCCTACAAGAAGACAGTAAAACCTCACTACCTGGCTTACACCTGTCTTTGTAGCTCTGGTATTGTCTTTCAGGAGACAAACACAGGCCAATTAAGGTGCATTACGGTCCATTACTCTTCGCCTTCCATTCCTTTCTTTGTTTCTTCCTTACTTACCTACTTCCATTATTGCCACCGTCTCTCCCCCTTACCGTTCTCTACGTCTTCCTTTATTCCTTTTATCCCCCTTCACTTTCACGCTTCCTTTATTTTACAGATTCAGTGTTTTGCTTGTATTCATAAGTAAACGTCTAATCCCGAGGACTAATTTTTCTCTTGGCAGACTGACAGTTCTGGATTACTGGGTTTTTGGACGTTTTCCTTCTTCCGGTGTCCTAGAAAATAGAAAACACGACTGTTCGGAAACTGGATCTGTCGTCGTGTTTTATATTTTCTAGGATACCAGACTATGGAAAAGGCCCATAAATTTTGAGTGTTATACATCATCGTCAGAACCCTTCAGAATCTACCAGATTGGCAGTTGCTTAGTAGCAAATAAATTCCGATAATTTTGTGGCACCCGAAATTTTATTGTGCGTTAAAAAAGGCTCGGGAATGGTCCATATTCCGCAACAAATTAAGTCAGCCTTCGTCCTTTAATAATAATTTTAGTATTATCCTTCCATCTATGCTAAAATCTGCTAAGTGGTCTGTTCCCTTCAGGGGTCTAACTCCATGGACCAGAACACTTCTTGAGAAGCTAACAGTTGGCTCTTCTGTTACTCAGAAGATCTTCTCGTTTTGTGTAATCAGAAAGTGCTTTACTGGGCTGAAAATATCTAGCAACTGAAGGTTACTGGCTTTTTGGACATTGCCCATCGTCTGGAATTCTAAAAAACTAGTTTTAGGAAACTGGATCAACTTCCGTCCTCAGGCTGAGGGGTGAGGTACGTATAACACTACACCACCCATTACCTGAGGACGGAAACAGATCCAGTTTCCCAAGTGTTGTGTTTATACGATGCCAGACGATGGACTATGTCCCAAAACCCAGTAATCCAGAGTGATATACACCATCGTCAGAACCCTATAAAAATTATCCCGCCACTGGTTCCGTTCTGAGCCAAGCAAATGCAGTAAATATCCTTCCTCGCTATCGCAAGGAGCCATTTTATAATTAACCTCCATCTACGTCTAGGTCATCTGAGTGGTCTCTCGCCTACACGTTTCTAGACACAAGAATTCTGTGCATTTCCTTTCTCTACTATATGTACTACACCCATTTCATATGCCTTGATTTAATTATCTTGTAAATATTTAGCGAGGAGTACAACGAAGTTCCTAGTTGTGCAATATCCCTCGTCTCCTGTTACTTACTCCCTTCTATGATCATATATTCTCATCTGCACCCTGTTCTCAATAAATCTTACCGTACGTTCTTCCCTTATTGTGCGACAAATTCTTCACCAACTCAAAAGAACGACAAAATTATAGCCTTGTGTGATTTAATTTTCACTTATTTAAACAGCAGGAGAGAAGCCAATGGGCTATGAAATAAAAGGTGGAAACTTTGATCCCAAATTTTCCCCTTATTAATTTTTTCATGAATGCAGTTTTCGTTTTTTAATATTATTCCAACATTTTTTTAAATTTACCACGTTGTTAGAGGACTTATTATTTATATTATGTCATGGTTCTCTTCTGTATTTTCAAACAGAGACCGTATACTTATTTTTCTCTGTGTCCACTTCTAGATGACACTCCTTATTCGAAATTAACAGAGCTTCCATATTTTCCTTTCTGACATAATAGATGCCCATCCAGACGTTGCGGTTGTATTATAATTCTTATCTCTACAAAATAATCACAAGTGTGAGTAAATTAACTGATTCATGAAAATGCATATCTATTACTTTTGAAAAGTTGGAAATTATCTACCTAAAATTACGAAATTAAACGTGTAAGTAAAAAAGTCATTTTTCTAAGCTCTGTTTAACGTAAATAACTTTATATGCTATAAAGAATGGTACACAATCAATATGCAAAACGATTCTGAAAGGGAGTTCAACTGTATATAACCTCCCCAAGGATGTTTCCAACTATCAAGACATTTTTGGCGTGGGCATGTAGAAAAACAAAAGAACATGCACGCATGGGCGTACACACTCTTCTTTATAGATGTAGACGCTCAAGATGTAACTTATTTTAGCATGCCCTGTTTTATTATCTCAAATTGGTTCATTCCATATAAAATAGGTTTGCAGTCTTTTCTTTTAAAAGCCCGTACTTCCATATTTCGTAAATTAGTCTGTCACCAGTATCGTAAGTTAATCGAGAGCAGAAACCACAGACGGACAGATTATTGTAAAAATTAGGACCTTTTCAGTGCAGAAAATGAGTTCAAATATCCACAGCCTTGATACAAATCGAATTCTCTGTCCTAGTGCTCGCTGTGCCTAAGCCAGTGTGCTTCGCATACTGGTTGCCGGAACTAGCCAAGTGCACACACTTGAAAAAAAATACTCATTTGAACTTCGCAACCTTTAATAAAACAAAACATTTCGATTCATATAAATAGGGTCTCTGGTTGTGTAGCATAACTTAAGATTTCATTATTAGTATACATAAAACAATAACATTTAATCACTCTTCTCTGTCATGTTCACCTGTTATCTTCTCAGGTGACCAGCTGCGTCATTGTTGAGGCAAACACCACATTCTTCGTCTGGACAGGGCCGGACTAGAGCTACCGAGGCGGCCGCCCCGGGGTTTCCACAAAACAGGTATCTCGATTGAGGTATTTCTTAGCTTTCTCAGTCCCTCCAGGCAACTGACAGAACAATACATAACTTAGAAGACAGCGGTTTCCCTCCAAATAAATTCGAGTTCACTATTCTCGAACCCGCTTCCTATTTGAAGAAAGCAGTCTTCTGGGATTTGGCAGACCAGTCTGCTTTTACCGGTTCTCACGGTCTCTTCGCTCGCGAATTTCTTATATTTTTCCTTCTACCCTGAAGATGGAGGCGATACGTTCCTCCGAAACGTCGGTTAACACCACATATACACGGTGCCAAATCCCAGAAGACTGCTTTCTTCATAGTCACCGCCGTGAAAGCCCCAAATCTTACATAGCTTCCTATTTGTTGCAGTATAATATGAGAGACTGACACTGTCATGAAACAGACCAGAACACGGGGGATAAAGCATAAGACGAAGGAATCAGTTATGGTAACTCTGTACTAGAAAGGTTTGATAGGAATCATTTTATTCGTCTCACATATTTGAACACCCAGAATCGAAGCAGAACCTAAAGTGTACTGGCGATGGTGTATAACATTCAGAATCACTGGGTTTTTTGGACTTTGTCATCGCTCGGTATTCTATAAACTAAAAAAAAAAAGTTTCGGAAAATTGATCTGTTCTCATCTTCAGTTGAGGACAGGAAGACACCTACTCAGTTGGGTTCCTTAGAAACAGCTAACCTCAATCACTGTACCAGTGTTTTCTAGTTTATAGAATATCGGAAGACGAACAAAATCCAAAAAGCCAATGAATTCTATCTCCAAAATCCAACATTATTATTCCTAATTTTATCTTTTTTAAAAGGTGTATGTTCAAATACTAATACTATAGGCTGTGTATGATTGACCTTGTGCAATTATGGACAGTCTAGTGTTATTATTATAAAACCCTCAAAAGAGAGGACCTACATGCAGTGGAACGAAATGACGTGTTTAAAGAAAGGAACAGAATGAAATTACAGCGAAAAGACCAGACAATTCTGAAGCTGCTAGAGTCATTCATAAAATTTAATTTTCTTCTTGTATTATAGATATGTCTACTATACTTTTCTCTGACTTTTTCTTTTCGTTTTAATAATAGTCTTGAAACTTATATCAAGAAATGAAGAAAATGAAAGCAAGAGACTGGATATTAGATTTATTAGTTTTGACAAAAAAAGGAGTAAGTTATTTCCTGCAACAGAATATAATACAGGCACATAGCACTGAGAATATCATTTGAAAGAAAGAAGTCCACGTACAGAATAATCTGAAGTATTTCATTTCAGTGGGGAAATTTTATGCAATTCTAATAAGTGAGGAGCTGCATTGAATTCAGTAAATCAAATACTCGCTAAACTCTTTTAGAAATATACTTCAATCTAATAATGATTCTTATACAATAGGAGGAAGACAAATAGAAAAACACTTGCTAACGCCATAAGGAAATTCGTCCTGCATGGTTATGGTCTATTAACTGGCCAAGAAGTCTTCGCCTTTTATGGAATACCAATGTTCATTGCCGCGCTCACAAAATCCGCTACTGTATCCTACCCTGAACCAGAGGAGTCCGGTACACGATGATACACTCTGGTTATTAAAATTTAATGTTATAATTTATCTACTCATTTTCGAATATATATGCCATCAGAATAAAAGGTTTTTCTCGATATGATAATTTTTTCATCAATGAAACACGGTATGTTCCTTGATTTGATTACCGCAAAAAAAAAATTCTGCTAAAAATGTACTAATTTACAAATAAAATTCTGGAACATGGGACACTAATTTCGGCTCAATATAAGCAGAGTATTCCATATATATGTTTGAAAATATGGACAGTTTAAAACGTTAAGGGTTCAGTCTTCTGGGACTGAACGCTATTCAGTCCATTGAAAGTCAATCCACGCTTCGAAAGAAAAAGTCGCCTCCATCTATAGGGTCGAATAATAAACCAAGCAAGAAACCAGCATGAAAGCATGTGGTAAGTTTTCACCCTGATTTCTTACTTGTCATATTTTCGACTCTGAAGATGAAAGTGACATGTTCCTCCAAAATATGGGTTGACTTCCAACGGACTGCACGGCGTTCTATCTCAGAAGACAGAACTCTTCATAATCACAGCTGTGATAGCATAGAATCCTGTAGTTTCAAATATCTGCAAACAGTTGGAATAGCTCTCTTTTCTGCGAAGACTGTACCGAGTATTGCGACCGTATTTAGCTAGGAGAAATATGATGCCTCCTACAAAAATCAGCATGGATTGTATTATAATTCGAGTTTTGTACTAGGTACCTCAAAAGTGATGAACCTCTAAAGCAAATTATATCTCATATAATTAACAGAATAAAATTTCAAGTATTCTGACTCCGGAATATTTCAGTTATGCTCCAGGCTTCTGATTATTGTAAATAAAAACTTCATTCGGAAAATCTGGTACGAATAATTCAAATGTGAAAGGGACAACCACAGTTATAAATCTTGTGAACTTCATACGAGCATCACGTTCTAAAAACAGACAATTCATATCCCCGCTACAAGAACTGTGAGATAGTGTGACACCTCAAGCCAGTGTTGGATGGGTGAGCTTACTCCAAGTTCAGAAGACCGTGAGGAACTTGACAAAAATTATATATTGTCAATTATAAGGGGGTTGCGTGACTAATAACGGGTTCTGGTTTAGATAATTGGATTTATTTGCAATTATTTACAATTACATTTAATTGTAATCAATTACATCAGCTCACAATTAGCGATTGTCCACGGCTCGCTTCATTCCTTACTGCACTACGAGTGCCTTCTCTTTCACTGCTATGGGCTTGGCTCTGATTCACTTCTTCAGCTTCCGTTGTCCGCTGGTTAACACTCCACAGCTGAACACTCTTACGACTGAATCAATGAATTCCATTACGAATGGCGTCTGTCTGACCAATCACGCCTATGAATGAATTACGTTTCCTTTCCTTTATAACTTCCAGGTGGCCCGAATATAGGTCATCATCTCAGACTGTTCCTCAGTTATTCACCAAATGGCACCGGAATGTCTTTGTTAATATTCGTTGCCACGGGAACCTGTGCTTTGGGACTAGCTACCTAGCAACGGATGTTCCACTGTTGACTGCTTCACCTCGAGAATGTGTTTACTGAAGCGTTGTCTAGCAATGGCTTATTCTGTCACAGTATTATTGTTTTCGACTTATTTTACAGCTTTGTCAGTATTTCCGTTATACATCTTGATAAATAATAAACTGGAAAGGATTATGAAGAAAGTGGTCATGGACTGAAATTAGATATATCTCGGTATTTTCTGCTGTGTTCCTGATGAGACTTGAACCAGGTGATAGCAATATATAAGCCCTGCTCTGCTCTTCTGTCTCTGACTTAGAGACGTAGAGAGAATCAATATAAATTACAGAGTACTCATGTGTTCAGTCAGAAGATATGCTGCTATAAAATCAAGCTACAAAACAACATAGTCTTCTGGAACAGGCTGTAGTTAATCAGCTGACGTTCGTGCTTCTCACGAGACACGAAATTTTTACCACCGCATTCTCAGGAGGCTAATAATATAGCATTCAGTTCTAATATAAATCCTCGCTGAAAATTTCTCTAGGGTAAATTTCACTGTTAGCTTCAATCTACACGTATGTGCAGCAAGTCTGCTCTTATTCAAAGTTTCATGAGGAAGGATTCATATGAAATTGTATTAAAGGGGAGAACACATTTATCCATTGGATGAAGGGCAAGAACTCCCTGTCTGCATAAGAGCCTTCAGTATTTTTCTGTTTCAGTGTATTTACCTGATCGGCGCTAAATAATTATGTTTATGATATCTGTGACCAGTAAAATGAGAAGAATATTTGGACATAAGGGAAAAGAGGAATCTGAATAAGGGAGAAAATACACAATGTAGACCTTCAGAATTTCTGCTTTTTACCAGAAATTATGATAATGATGAAATGAAGGCAGAAAAGACGGCAAATTTATTGAAAGGTTAACGTGGCACTGCTGAAACACGTTGCGTATATCAGTACAGATGTACATAAATGTTTCAGTCATACACCTATCTCTGGCTCTAGAGCCCTTGTGGACCTTGGCCGCTTTTTCAGTTTCTTAATCTATATACAGACGGCAGGACTCCTTGGACGGGGATCAGCCAGTAGCAAGGCGTCTTTGTACATACAGAGCAACACAAACATCGAATAAACTCATACAGACAACCATGCCTCGAATGGGATTTGAACCCACGATCCCGGGGTTCGAGCGGACGAAGAAGGTTCATGATTCGGTCACATAGCTCATGATATTTTCGCAGTTTCTTACAAAGCCAAACAAAACTGTCGGCATAGATCTGTCGTCATCTTTTCCTCAACTCCCAGAACGCATGCGTAAACTTTTGGCATCTAATATGTATACAGTTAAGCCTAATGGACTCATTGTCATATCAAGGGAGAATTATTCTCATACACATGATGATTAAAAAGTAATAAGTTACTTACACAAGACGGTAAAAAGTAAATTTGTCCCTGTGCTTAACTTATTAAAGACCACGACACTAATACTTATGGGGAATTGAATTTATAACACCAAAATTCTTGATCTTATCACTAGGTGGATGTGAGTGGCTGGCTTCATAACCCTCTTGCGTTGCACACAGGGAAATAACTCCAAGCACACATTGGCCAGGAGGCCAGCTGGGTCCCAGAGGCCATCCCTGACGGGATTTGAACACCATCCAACCAGCCCTTAGTCCGTCGCTCTACCATTAGGGCTGCCCGGACTTCACATTCCTCTGCCAATTCTCATCCCAACAACCGTTTCATATTCATCAATCGTCCTATCACCGACGCTATGTAGTCCCAATAAGGAGAGCGTCGTTAAATAACAAGCTTAAAGAAGAATAGAAGAAAATAAAGTGAACAAACAAAACAAGAATAACCAGGAAATTGAA